TGATCATTCGGTTCACAATTCATTTAGTATATATTTTGAAATTTTCCCTAAAATGATAAGATTGAAAGATAGGCAAGTCCATTTAAAATAGCTCAAATTCAGTATCCTTTCATTATCTGTTTACATCAATTACTCATTATTCATCCTTTTTTCATAGACTGGTAGAGTGTTGGCTCTGTGATTATAGTTAGAAATTGAATTGACCCTGAATTGAATCCTTTAAAAGGCATTTTTAGCTTGACTAGATATTTAACAAGAATAAATAGAGCTAATTGCTATTTTTAACTCACTTGAGCGTTGGCGTGACCACTTTTGTTAAAGTTTGCGTACCCCCTCAAATATTTTCAATGTCCATTGAAATATGGCTTTGAAACTTTGCGCACTTGTTCACCATCATGCCCCCAACCTGTAACAGGAGGAGCTTACTCTACTCTAATGCCCTTTTTAGACTCCTATTTACATTTATTACATACCAACTATATTTGCCTTTTGGTGTAGTCCACCTCAAATATTTTCATTTTCCATTGACATCTGGATTTGAAGCAAGTTGAAATTTTATACACTTTTTTGAGAGCCTAATAGGTCAATCTCAAAGACCTATAACTGTCATATGGATCTGAAAAAAATTTGTTTGCCCCAATTGAACACAGTAAAAGAGCCTTGATAATGTAAAATTTTCTATCAAGCACTAAAAAAAGTCAAGCGTTGTTTATTTCCTTTTAACTTTTTGTTTTTAGATATTTTTCAACTAAGCGGATTTCAGTGTGTTCTTTACACAAGGCTTTTTGAGAACATTAAGTTTAACAAAAGACTGAGTTTAAGTCAAAACAGTCAAGCTCATAACCAAATAAATAGCAATCGAAGAAGAAAAAAGAAATATACAAATGAGCAAGGTGAGGACTTTGTTTGTAATGCAGATTGTAACATCAAGCAACACTTTGCATCCAGATAGTTTAATGGTAGAACAGCTGTTACTTTGTAACAGAAGGCCTGGGTTCAAATCCCAGTTTGGATTTAATTGTTTTGTTGTTTACAATGTGTAATTATTTCATCCAATGCAATGTTTTAAAAATTATTTTTATAAGTTCGATTTTTTGAGAAAAAAAAATGAAAATAGAGGTATTGTTACAGCCATGTTGATGTTGTCGTTGCCCTCCACAAACCTTGACCATAACTTTTCTAAGTTGTAGGTGTATTTGACATTCAAGGTCAATTGTTCAAATTTTGCTCTTTTTTTGCTATAAGTGGCTATATACATTTGTTATTTTTGAATAAATTGTCTTCAAATTTGAGCATAATAATCTTAAGGATAGCCCTACAAGTTTTCCAAACAGACCTTGACCTTCACTCATGAATGACCTTGACTTTGAAGGTCAAATTATTGAAATTTTCATTTTTGTGCCCCCACTTTAGTGACAGGCATTTAGATTTACCCTTGTCCGTGCGTCCATCTGTCCGTCCGTTCTCTTTTGTGTCGCACGTAACTCAAAAAGTATTTGACCTAGAGTCATGAAACTTTACAGGAATGTTGATCAGCATGTGTAGCTGTGCATCTGGGTATTTTCGTGTGGATTTATATAGTATTTTTAGCTCGACTTTTTTTTTTTTGAAAAAAAAAGTAGAGGTATTGTTATAGTCAGGTCGGCGTTGCCGTTGCCGTCCGAAAACTTGTACCTGGATCATAACTTTTTTATTTCTTGGTGTATTGTCTTCATACTTGGCCAAAACAACCCTTGGGACAAGACCTTTCAGTAGACCACACTAACCTTGACTTTCATCCATAAATGACCTTGACCTTCAAGGTTAAAAGTCCAATTTTTGCTTGTTCATGCTGTTATTGGCTGTTACTTTGTTATTTTTGAATGGATTGTCTTCAAACTTGAACATAATAATCTTCAAGGATATCCCTTAAAAATAACCATTCAGACCTTGACATTCACTCATCAATGACCTTGACTTTGAAGGTCAAATTATTGAAATTTTCATTTTTTTTGGCTATTATTGGCTGTAACTTTGTTATTTTTGAATGGATTGTCTTCAAACTTGAACATAATAATCTTCAAAGATAACTGTTAAAAATATACCGAAAGACCTTGACCTTCACTCATTAATGACATTGCCTTTGAAGGTCAAATTATTGAAATTTTCATTGTTTTGGCAGTAACTGACTGTAACTTTGCTATTTTTGAAGGGATAAACTTCATATTATAACAGAACATTCTTAAGGACCAGACCTTGTTGTTTATCAAACCCAAATTTGCTTGGGCTCTTTAATGACCTTGACCTTGAAGGTTATATTACTGAATTTTCTCAGATTGTGCATTTATTGGTGTGTGTGTATGTATAGTATATGTACTATACATATATATATATATATATATATATATATATATATATATATATATATATATAAATGTGTGTGTGTATATATATATATATATATATATATATATGCATGTATATATATATATATATATACATATATAGATATATAATATCAAATATATATATATATATATATATATACATATATATACATGTATATAATTGCGTCATGTTTTTCTATTTTTAGAAATTGGGTCATTTTTTCTATTTTTAGAAATTGCGTCATTTTTGTTCTATTTTTAGAAATTGCGTCATTGTTTCTATTTTTAGAAATTGTGTCATTTTTTCTATTTTTAGAAATTGCGTCATGTTTTTCTATTTTTAGAAATTGCGTCATTTTTTTTTTCTATTTTTAGAAATTGCATCATGTTTTTCTATTTTTAGAAATTGCGTCATTTTTTTCTATTTTTAGAAATTGCTTGATTTTTTTTCTATTTTTAGAAATTGCGTCATGTTTTTCTATTTTTAGAAATTGCGTCATTTTTCTATTTTTAGAAATTGCGTCATTGTTGCTATTTTTAGAAATTGCGTCATTTTTTTCTATTTTTAGAAATTGCGTCATTTTTGTTCTATTTTTAGAAATTGCGTCATTGTTTCTATTTTTAGAAATTGCGTCATTTTTTCTATTTTTAGAAATTGTGTCATTTTTTCTATTTTTAGAAATTGAGTCATTGTTGCTATTTTTAGAATTTGCATCATTTTTTTCTATTTTTAGAAATTGCGTCATTGTTGCTATTTTTAGAAATTGCGTCATTTTTTTCTATTTTTAGAAATTGCGTCATTTTTTTCTATTTTTAGAAATTGCGTCATTTTTTCTATTTTTAGAAATTGCGTCATTGATGCTTTTTTTAGTAATTGCCTCATTTTTTCCTATTTTTAGAAATTGCGTCATTTTTTCTATTTTTAGAAATTGCGTCATTGTTGCTGTTTTTAGAAATTGCGTCATTTTTTTCTATTTTTAGAAATTGCGTCATTGTTTCTATTTTTAGAAATTGCGTCATTTTTTTTTTCTATTTTTAGAAATTGCGTCATTGTTTCTATTTTTAGAAATTGCGTCATTTTTTCTTTTTTTAGAAATTGCGTCATTTTTTTCTATTTTTAGAAATTGTGTCATTTTCTCTATTTTTAGAAATAGCGTCATTGTTGCTATTTTTAGAAATTGCGTACTGTTGCTATTTTTAGAAATATGCTTAATGTTTCTATTCATATATATACAAAATATATAAACAAAACTAATGTGACAAGACAGACCAACTAAATTTATAAAAAGGAAACATCAATATATGTTCAAACCTTTCTATGTTTGCGTTTAGAAAAAGTAAAAAGTCGAGCGTTGCCCCCGCCCGGCGGTGGCTCTTGTTAAGAGTTATTGCCCTTGACTTAGTAAAATTTTGCAATTTTCAACTTGTGTCGCATGTTACTCAAAAATAATTTGACATAGAGTCATGAAACTGTACAGAAATGTTGATCAGCATGTGAAGTTGTGCACCTGGGTATTTTCGTGTTGATTTATTTAGTATTTTTAGAGTTATTGGCCTTGACTTAGAAATTTTTTGCAATTTTCAATTTGTGTCGCATGTAACTCAAAAAGGATTTGACATAGAGTCATTAAACCTTACAGGAAGGTTGCTCAGCATATGTAGTTGTGCACCTGGGGTTTCGCTTGTGGATTTATCCAATATTTGTAGAGTTATTTCCCTTGACTTAGTAAAAACCGTTTCATTATGTTGTTATTTGTTCCTTGAGTGCTTGAGTTAGAATCGACCAACTTTACAGTAATGATCAACATCACTAAATTACAGGAATAATGATCAACATCACTGTGAAACTATGCACCTGGAACTTTGCATGTGTATTTTTAGCTCACCAGAGCCGAATGCTCAGGGTGAGCTATTAGTATCAAAGGGGGATGGTCCGGCGTCCATCGTCAGCCGTCCGTCGTCCTGCGTAAACAATCGTCTTCTTCTCTGAAACTACTAAGCCGATTTACTTCAAATTTGGTCTGTAGCATCCTTGTGACAGTCACACTTGAATTTGCTCATGTCATTCCAATTGGCCCCTTTTAGGGGTCAGCAGAGCTAAAAATAGAAAAAACCTTTAAACATCTTCTTCTACAAAACTAATGGATGGATGATCACCAAACTTTGTCTGTAGCATTCTTGGGTAGTCTTTTATCAAGTTTGCTCATATTAATTTGATTGGCCCCTTTTAGGGGTCTCTCGGGCTAAAAATAGAAATACCTTTAAACATCTTCTCCTACAGAACTAATTAAAGATTAATTGATGATCACCAAACTTTGTAGCATTCTTAGGTAGTCTTTTATCAAGTTTGCTCATATTAATTTGATAAGCCTTGTTTAAAAAAAAAGCTTAAATGCCCCAGGTCATGGCATTTCTTCAAATCATTGTTTAAACATATTCTATGCTCAAATTTAATATAAGAATATATTGACATTCCAACACTGATAAGCAGTTGTTTCTGGTGGTTATTGTATTGTGTGCCAAAGGCCTAGAATTACATTACAATAAACTAAAAACCTATAACAAAAGCTCACCTCTGAAAACTAAGCTGAGCTGAGCTTAAAATACAGACAATGTATAAAGACACAATTAATGTATAAAAACACATTATTTTATTCATCGTAAATATCACAGATCATTACCACACAATAAAATAAATCATTAGAAGTAAGAATAAAGCATAGTCGATAACATTTAATGTTTTCATGCCTTGATTCGGAACATTTAAAATATACCATGTATTCCTACATTACTAAAGAAATTTGTAAGAGTTTGTCAATTTAAGAATAACTCACATTTATTTCTAAATTTTTAAGTTGACACAATTTTCTAGAAGTCTGTTTCACTTGCATCTTTTCACAAAGTTCTTTGATTTTAATATGCTGCTTCCTTAAAGTTATCAACACTAGACTGTTATTTTTTTGTGCAGTCAGTTTGAAGTCTTGAGAATACTGAACCTGAACAAAAATCACTTTAATACTTTTTTAAAGTTCATAATCTTGGATTAATCCATTCCTTCAGCCCTTTTATGCTCAAAATTTGGGTCTTTTTCTATAACGTTTTCTACCATCGCAGTTTTTCTAAGCTTTTTCTGAAATGTACAAAGTAAAAACATATCAATTGAACAAAACATTTAATGTTGCTTAAAGGCCCATTATGCCCCAGAAATGCTTTTATGTTTATTTCTCAACAGCTTTTTATTTTTATGTGTCTTGTTATTACTTTAAAAAAGTTACTCATTAACAATCCTTCATTTCTGTTGCCTTTTAGCAATTAGTGCAGTTACAGTTATTTAGTATTTTCAAAATACTATTTTGTATGAAAGTCGAAATACTGGTGGTAAAAACTAATCATTTTTAGCTCGACTATTCGATAAGAATAAGTAGAGCTATTGTAGTCACCCCAGCGTCGGCGTAACCACTTATGTTAAAGTTTTTGTAATAGTTTAAATATTTTCAAAGTCCATTGACATATGGCTTTGAAACTTTGCACACTTGTTCACCATCATTACCCCAACCTGTAAACAGGAGGAGGTAACTGTATCAAGCATTTTGACAGAATTATGCCCCTTTTTCGACTTAGAATTTACGTTAAAGTTTTTGTAATAGTTCAAATATTTTCAAAGTCCATTTACATATGCTTTTGAAACTTTGCACACTTGTTCACCATCATTACCCCAAGCTGTAAACAGGAGGAGGTAACTGTATCAAGCATTTTGACAGAATTATGCCCCTTTTTCGACTAAGAATTTACGTTAAAGTTTTTGTAATAGTTCAAATATTTTCAAAGTCCATTGACATATGCTTTTGAAACTTTGCACACTTGTTCACCATCATTACCCCAACCTGTAAACAGGAGGAGGAAACCTTATCAAGCATTTTGACAGAATTATGCCCCTTTTTCGACTTAGAATTTACGTTTAAGTTTTTGTAATAGTTCAAATATTTTCAAAGTCCATTGACATATGCTTTTGAAACTTTGCACACTTGTTCACCATCATTACCCCAACCTGTAAACAGGAGGAGGTAACCGTATCAAGCATTTTGACAGAATTATGCCCCTTTTTCGACTTAGAATTTACGTTAAAGTTTTTGTAATAGTTCAAATATTTTCAAAGTCCATTGACATATGCTTTTGAAACTTTGCACACTTGTTCACCATCATTACCCCAAGCTGTAAACAGGAGGAGGTAACTGTATCAAGCATTTTGACAGAATTATGCCCCTTTTCGACTTAGAATTTACGTTAAAGTTTTTGTAATAGTTCAAATATTTTCAAAGTCCATTGACATATGCTTTTGAAACTTTGCACACTTGTTCACCATCATTACCCCAACCTGTAAACTGGAGGAGGTAACTGTATCAAGCATTTTGACAGAATTATGCCCCTTTTTCGACTTAGAATTTACGTTAAAGTTTTTGTAATAGTTCAAATATTTTCAAAGTCCATTGACATATGCTTTTGAAACTTTGCACACTTGTTCACCATCATTACCCCAACCTGTAAACAGGAGGAGGTAACTGTATCAAGCATTTTGACAGAATTATGCCCCTTTTTCGACTTAGAATTTACGTTAAAGTTTTTGTAATAGTTCAAATATTTTCAAAGTCCATTGACATATGCTTTTGAAACTTTGCACACTTGTTCACCATCATTACCCCAACCTGTAAACAGGAGGAGGTAACTGTAGCAAGCATTTTTTTTACAATCAAGCACTTAGAATAGTCGAGCGTTGCTGTCCTACCGACAGCTCTTGTTAGTTCTGGCATGTTTGTGGTTGAGTAGTTTCCAACATATCTTATGTGACTGTTGTGAAGCACATTAAAGTACCTATTGGTACTTGAAAGTTTTATCTTATCAATCATATAATGGCAAGAAAACTAAATTTAATTTGGAATGACTATTGTCAAAGTACTTAACATTTATACCTAGATATTTCAAATACATGTAGATACAATTCATCAACTTATACAAAAAGCTACACATAAACTGAATGTCTCTTGCTATTTGTTATTAACACATAATGTATGTCAGCCTGAACATGCTCTGCAAATGCACAACATTCAATACAAGACATTATTCTCATCTTTTATCTCAGTTAAGTAAGAGAGTATGATTTGCCATACAATTGAAATACGTGCACATTTTCTTAATTTGATTTTTTTTACGATTAAAAATATTCCTTAATTGTTATAAAATATGACGAAAGAACTGTTAATAACATATCACAAAATACAGGACCTGATGCAGGACTTTCATAGCTTCATTGGGAAAGTAGTGTGGCCAAGGGGACATATTTAAGTCTAATATAAGCCTTGATGCCCTCTCTAACATTGATTTGTGTAAAAGAAATTGTATCAAATGATGCATGACATTCAATAAAGAATTATCATTTAATACACTAGCAAGATTTTGTAAGGGGGTTGTATGCTGGCAAGCACCACCACCACAACCCCTCTCACATGGCCACCCAACCCAATTTGCCTAGATGACATATCCCAAAGTATGCAATTTTCAACTTTGACCTGAAGTTAACATGTTTTTTAAATTTAAACCCGAGTCAGGATCATCATATGAGTAGATATTCCAGTTTGATATACATCTATGAATGCTGTGCTGAATCCTTCCACAGATATTAAATCTTTGCCACCATGATTTTATCAGAAAGTTAGAAGCATGTGACATAGATTCAATAAAACTTTTGGGGAAAATAATGTAGAACAAAATATCCTGCATTCTATAATTTAAATGGCTGGGCTTACAATCTTATACAATGTCATTCTACTCATCATATATATCCAAATGAAGAACTTACTGCTTTCTTTAAGGATTCTATGTCTAGTGCAGAGAACTTATATTTTTCTTTCACTCGCTCAAGATCTCTTTCATTTAATTGCTGAAAATTAAGTGTAAAAATAAATTAAAACAGTAAAATGTTTTTTCTTAAGACACAACACATCTTCAAAACATAAAAACAAAGGCTATCCTAAAATCAGTGTAAATGAGTAATCATCTCATAATAACAAACATCCTGAAAAGTTTTAAAAAGAATTGTCTCAATAGTTTTTCAAGAATGTCCTGATGGTCCTGAGTGCTCACGTGAGACTCATTGCTAGAAAAGTCAGATCAGTAAGTCATTGAGTCACATTAGGGAGAATCCCTTGTGAGGATTGGTGAATTTGGACATGTCATTTTTGACACTAGAGCAAAACTCTGTAACTTTTGTTGACACCCACTGAGCAATGCTACAAGCCAAATATCTTGCTCTTCATTATTCTTGTAGTATTTAAATCTATATATATATTTTTTTGAGTCTTTTCTTAGTTGCTGTGCTTCTTATGCATCAGACTAGAACCATTTACATGTATGAAGTCAGTAATGTTTATAAAGGGTCACCCCCATGTTTATTCCTGTGAATGGTACATAAAGAGATAAGGAGGAGATGGTGTGAAACAGTGGATTACTATGTATGATCACAGGCAGGTGAGTGACCATGATCTAAAAGGTTATCAAGGGTAAATATACACCTACACTTGGGCAGCTATTATCAATAAAAACTTATTTATATCTTATACATTTTAAAGCTTATTTCAGCTGTTATGATCTACTAGCCATTCTTTTCAAATTAAAACCATTTTTACAGCAACACCTTATAATATATGCATGATTGATTTTTTCCAATCAAATTTCACTAAAATCTCTCATGAAGCTGAAGTTATATAAACCTTACATCTATCTCCATCAGCAGACTAGAACAACTTTCACTGCTACTACAGTTCCACCCAAGGTTTATCAAAAACTGTTGTGCAGTCTGATTTTTTTTTTCTGTTATTTTATGCCAATTTTAACAAATGATTTGGTCATATCTCAGTATTTGACCCACTGAACAGACTTTCCTGGATAACTAACCTGAGTATTTACCAATTTCTCTGCAAGTGACCAACCACTTATCCCATGTGATATCTTGTCACATAGAACGTGGTTGATGATAAGGAACATATATTTGAAGTTTTAAGTGATACCTTAAGAAATGAAAAAGTTATAGTGAAAAATGTTTTACTGCACCAAAACTTTAATCTGAAATTTGGACGCTGATGCTGGAGCGAGTAGGACAGCTCTCTTTATACTTTGTATAGTCAAGCTAAAAAGGGGATGTTGTTTGAAGTAAAGGTTAAAGAAGCATGATGGTCCTGAACACAATACCTACACATTTTACCACATTGTGCTCAGCTCAGATTACATGAAAAAAAAATTTACATATGTAGAAGTGGTCAGAAGGGACAATAAACATTTTTATGAAACACATACTTACTGATTTTGAAAGAACGTTTAAGTCTTTCTTCATAAATCTGGATTCTTGGAATAATTTAACCATAGAAAATGATCCCATGACAATAACCTGAAAGTAAACAATTAAGCTGCAATTTTATATACATTTATAGCTCTTAATGTAAAAGAAATATCATATAAATAGAATATTGTTAAAGGCAATAGATGCTCTAGGAACCTTCATATCTGTCAATGTATTTCAATGCGAACTGGTTAATAATATAGGCGAAGGCTGTATAAGCAAATTTTTAACTTAACCAATGTGTGATGGTGATGTCGACACCTAGGTGACTACAAAAGCTCTCCCTATTCTTCGATTAGTTGAGCTAAAGTATGAATATTTAAATAATTTGTTGTAAGTTGTAAAGTTACTTTATTATCCTCCTAAAGTAATCATTCTAAAAGTTACTTCTAGAAAATATACCTTTAAAGATAAACAAAGGTAACAAACTGTTCACTATAACATGTAGTCAGCAATATTGATGTATTACCTTGTACACTTAATACCGCGATTCAACTAATCAGATGTCTAGAAACAGTGTTGTTTATGCCAGTAGATTTATTTGGCCAGTGATTCGATGTCACACTAAAACACATACATGTACCTGTCATAGACAGTCAAAAATGAAATTACAGTTTACTGGCAAATAAAATGAAACTAGAAATGTGTCAACAAGCAAACCCCAAGGTGCATAAGTACACATGCTGACAAATTCATTGAAAGTTCACTTAAGGTAAAATTTTTTACTAACATGAACAAGTTAAAATTGCAAATTTTATAAGTAAACAATCACAAACTTATAATAAAAGGAATAAGACAGGTGGTTCAAACCTATCCAGCTTGTTCTAATAGACTTCACCAGTTGTTCTATGTTTGATCATAATTTTCTCTTGAAAAGTAAAATGAACAAGAATTAAGACAACATAACATAATAATGAAGGCTTATCAGATAATTAGACAAGGCAAGATAAAGATAACACTAAAATAATGCTTCTAAATGTTCGAGTATCGAAATATTTCGAATCATCTCTAAATCATTCTAAAATAAATGAAGATTAACACTAAAATAATAATGAAAGGCTATATGTAGAAATGATGACAAAAAAGATTATACTTAAACTTTTACTCACAGCAGTGGCAAAGACTTTTCCAGGGTGAATTTTCTTAAGATAGGACATTCTTCTTCTTCATCATCTCCTTGCAGTTGGAAAGAGTTGCTTCCCTTGATGTAAAACAACAACAACAACAACAAAAACGAACAAAATGCACGAAAATGAAATTCTTACATTGATATCTCCAAAGATAAGTCATCAGATATTACAATTACTTCAAGATGGATATTTTGGCATATGTGGTGGAAAGATTAAGATAACAGATCTAAATACAAGGTAGTTAATGTAATTAAGAATATTTTGTCACATAATTTCGCGATGCAAAATATTTGTTTAAAAAACAGAAACCAGCCAGGACTCACTGTATAAAGTGATTTAACTTTGAAAATACACCGGTAACTGTCCAGCATAAGCTTGTTTTCGAAACTGTTCTTATAATTGATTATTTTAATTCCTGAGTTTCCAAGAAATCATACATCTCTCTTATTTGAAAAAAATATGACACAAGGAAAGTGATAAAGGGCACAGGCAGTCGGTGTGTGGCTTGGATAGTAAACATGTACATGAACACGCCCACTTAATTTTATAAATAAATAGAGGATATTTGTTTAGTTCAGTGTAAGATCGGAATATATTTCACCAAGTGAGCAACAAAAGGTATATTAACTTTTGGTATTCACAAAGTAAAATATATTTCGATCTTACAGTAAAGGAAACAAATTTTTTTTTGTATTTTCTGATCTGTGAGCAGAAAATTCAGTGCTGACATTCAATCTCAGACACAGAATTTTCACGACAAACTTAACAACAAGTAGTTCTCAAACAGCTTAAAACTAGCGATGTAAAAGAAATATTTTTATTTTGTTACATGTATCCAACAAATTACAACGCATTCAAAGTTTTAAAGAATATAGAATTGGCCAAATTACGCGGATGAATATCATTTTAATCAATGAAAATGCTATTTTTAGCGATGTCGATGACCCAATACTCCATAGTGTAGTACACAAATAGATCTGACTGTCGAGTAGTGGAAAATATACATGTCAGACTGTTTTGGCGAGAAGATTTTCGCTAAATTATTTTCATCAGTGTTAAATAACAGGTTTATCGTGAAAAAAGTACCTCGAAATTAATAAGGATTACAAACATGAAATGGAAATTCTCAATTTAGAATTACAATGTACATGTATTTGTTTTTATTAAGGCTATCTACATATAACTTCACCGTGGTGCAGGGGAAGCGCGCTCGTTTAGGATGTGAGAGGTCTGGGGTTCAAATCCTAGTCGAGGCAACTTGTTGTTTTTTTTGAAGCGTCTTTTTTAAGGAAGTAGCCACGATATGCAAGGATAAAGTGTGGCCGTCATAAAAAAATGAACATAAATGATTTTTTTTATGCAACTCTAGTCATGCAAAATTCCATATGTATCAATCTCAAACTGTTATAGTAAAAAATCTAAACGCAGTCGCTGCATAAGATGAATTATAGTATATAAAAATAAACTTATACAGGAAAATACATACAGATAGTCAGTATGATTTAGATTGCAAAGATCAGAAAACACCACAGAGCTTGCAGCCCTTTGATTATTATATGCAAAGAAATGCTTAAAAAGACATTTTAACCTTGTACTAAATGCAAAGGTCACCAATTGATAATACAACGGGATGTCATTTACAACGTCACATCATTAAGTTGGTTCCCAGTACTGTGCACGCTAGTATTATCAGAACAACTTAAAGGGCTTAAATTCAAAACAGTGAAATTAACAAATTGATAATTTTACTGTTTCAAACAGTGAAATTATCAGTTTTATATTTCACTGATATATTTCTATAAACCACCGAAAAGCATGTAATAAAATAACTAATAAAATACTTTTTCACTCAAAATGTTTTTAAAACATCTTATTTTCAATAAAACAATAAAGGAAAGTTGTTTTTAAAAATTTCATCCATATATACTTTAAATATAAAGAAGAATCCCTACTTAAGACCAACTCAGATTAAAGACCACCCCGCTATTCAGACCATTTTTTAAAAGAACAGACTTTTCTGTTATTTATGTCAATAGTTACATTCTCAAGAATTAAGACAACCCTGGTTATGTACTTTAAGACCACCAGATTCAGTCCCAATTCATTGATTTATTCTTTATTTGAATTCACTATTAAGACCACTGATTTTGAAGTCAACACTTACCAAGATCACATATTTGTTGTTATTATCTGATTCTGCTTGAATGCTCTTAGGCATGATACTTGTTTTAACAAGGTGTCAAAAACTGTTATTATAAGGTTATTGTATGAAATAAAATGTAAAAGTAAATTTTAGAGTTACTTTGGTTCAATGTAGCTTTCAGCACATTTATTTTGTGAAGAAATAATTTTTTATATGATAGGTGAAATATATGCATTATATAATAATTAATATTGAAATCAGAACAAATAGAATTAAATATTAAATTTCTTCAGAAAAAAAAAATGTTTTTTTTTTCTCATCTGATTAAATATTATAACATATATTGTATTTGTAGGTTAAGATACATATTGTTTGTTCATACAAAATGACTAAAATAGACCATGGTCATAAAGTATGTAAGCAATGATAAGATTATTCACAATTAAGACCACCCACAATTAAGACCACTTTGGTCCAGTCCTGATGGTGGTCTTAATTGAGAGTTTTTATTGTAGTACTATATTATATAGTGGGCGTGGTCATGTACATGTATACTATCCAAGCCACGCACCAACTGCCTGTGATAGAAGGCTGGAAAACTGCAAAGGAATATCAATGTTTTTATACAGATTAAAAATACTGAATCCACAAACTTGAGTCTTCTTTTGAGTGTGTATTATACTATAGAATTAGTCAAAGACATTAGATAGGTTTAATTGTTCATTGGATTAATAAATAAGGAATTGCAGACAGTATCTTTCATTTTCTTATGTGTTGTCATCTTGGTCTCTTATAATTGTTTTTTTTTCTGCAAAACCTAATTTATGTAGAAGAAAACAAAGAAAACATTTTTTTTCATGTCTGACATTCCCTAAAATTTAGAAATGTTTTGAATTTTGCAGTTGCACAACTTTGACAGCTATGAGTCCAGGAAACTGTGACAGATTTAAAGTTGTCATTCCATTTGCTGGGCAGACAATCACTTGTAAGTTTTCAGTAGATTCACAAAATTAGTACATATGTACAATATGGTCATAATAGGTTTTGATTGACCTATTTGTTGTACATATAAGAAAATTAAAGAAAGTGTACTGGTTTACTGGATTGTACATGTATACAAAAACTTAAAGTTTAGCTGTTTAAAATAAGAGTAATACCATGCCAGATATTATGTTTCTCCCAGCTAGCTGTAAAAATATTATATTATTTGAACATAATATATAGTACTGTACAATAATATGTAATTTGAATTGAACATCAATGACAGAAGTCAAAACAGTGTACCTTGAAAAGCTGTTTTCAAGCACAATTTGTTTTTGCATTAAATAAAATTGCAAAAAGTTAAACCCACTGCAGTATTGTATATAATAACAGATACCTCAACATTGTTGTTTGGAAACTGTGAAATATTTTCTTTCTAATTGTGCAAATCATTCTGTTTATGAAAATGAATAAGTCAGGTTAATCTTTGCTCTCTACATTGAATATGTATTAAATGTATACTGGTATATATTAAATACAATTTCATCAGACAAAACTTATTTTCCAAGTTGGAATTGCATTATGTACAATAAGATAAAGCAACTTTTCAACACACCAAATATTTTATGTAATCTAGCTCTGTGAATGCTGTGATAATACTTGTATTTTTTGTACAGATACACTTTTTTGCTGTTGACCAGTGTATGATGTCTGTGTATCTGTGCTCATTTAACAATGGTGTGACTTGTATCAAATCATGTACATGTAGTTACATCTGTGTTGAACTGATTTCCATACTAGTAAATGTCATAAATTCAACATCATAAATTAAAATTGCATGATTAGATTCGCATAAAATTTCTCAGTTTCAATTGAATATATATTATAATTTTACAGTATTTTGATATTCTGTTGTAGGGGAGGTGTTATTTGACTGCAACTTTCCAGAAGGACCCCCAGATTTTATATTTGGATCTGAAGATCTTGACTTCTTCCCTGATATTAACAGTTTACAGGTTACAGTTATTTCTCTGATTTTACCATATGCACACATTATTTATACACTTCATTCTGTGATTCATCATTATCAGTTTACCCATGGTTTCCGACAATATTATTTTACATGCTATTAAATGTTTTTAAAATTGAGGTAAAACTTGATACTAATGATATTCTCAATAATTAATGTGTAATTATAACCAGTTGTCCTTGGAACTGAAGTATTATTTTACCTCTGTACTCTGTTATGGAATAAAAGAAAAAATATTCTTAATTGTTTATTTTTCATATTTAATTGTTTCAGAGTTTAGTGGAATGGGATTATGAAGATCCTTGCTGTTTGGGACAGGTGATTGAAGAATTACTTTATCAGTATAAAAAATATCAGGTACTAGTTATGAATGATGATGTTGTTTTGTGATATTTGTGACTATATACTTCTAGCTTAAACTTGAAAGAAATGAGTGATGAACATATATGCTGCTATTTTAACTTGGCATAACACTAGCCAGTCACTTAGTTAATGTAATGTGTTGAACATGACATCTTGTAAATCACTTAATTTTGTCTGCTGAACTCAATGAGAGCATCAGATTTGTAACTGGGCAAGGGTCTCTGGGTGGATCCCCCAGTAAGGGGAATTTATTCTGTGACAATTGATCTTGGACATGTAGTCTATTGGTTATTTGTTTCTCACTGCTGATTCAGAGATCATGTTGGATTAGAAATTGAATATTGTTGTGAATACACTATTAATAATTTTTTCAAGTAATGATACTATAAATCTGTTACTTGCTTAGAAATTAGAAATAACCTGTTATGAGTTATCAAGGAAAGCCAGTTAGTTGGACCAACCACCAAGATATGACTAGATTTGTTAAAATTTGCATAAGAAAATCTGAAATACACATACAAACAAATTAACCACTAGAGATACTTACTTTGCTGAATTTATCATGACATGGACTTGCTTAAGGGTGATGTTCATATTTTTACCAGGGACTAAAAAACTGAGCAGCCAACAGTCTGGTTCGACTAATTTAGAGTGTAACTGTTTATTGTGTATATCAAATTGTTTAATAGTTTTTTATTTGACATACATGTGTAGTTTAGGTTACAGTATCGAAATTTGTTTATAAATGTTGGGTAATATGATTTTTTTGTTTATTTAGGAAAATATAATAAATGGAACACATCGTTTAAAGTTTGAGTACAGTTCTTTAGTGGAGGATACAGATGTTAAATCAGAAGATGTGGAAATACATGTGTCACGTACAGAGGTATTTCATCTTATATTTTCTTAATTCAACCATGGCTTTTTCAGATTTTATCATTTTTAGCTCGACTATCCGATAAGAATAAGTAGAGCTATTGCAGTCACCCGAGCGTCGGCGTCGGCGTAACCACTTTTGTTAAAGTTTTTGTAATAGTTCAAATATTTTCAAAGTCCATAGACATATGGCTTTGAAACTTTGCACACTTGTTCACCATCATGACCCCAACCTGTAGACAGGAGGAGGTAACTCTATCAAGCATTTTGACAGAATTATGCTCCTTTATTGACTTAAAGTTTAGGTTAAAGTTTTTGTAACACCTCAAATATTTTCCAAAGTCCATTGACATATGGCTTTGAAACTTTGTACACTTGTTCACCATCAAGCCCACAATGTGTATACAGGAGGAGGTAACTCTATCAAGCATTTTGACAGAATTATGTCCATTTTTCGACTTAGAATTTACGTTAAAGTTTTTGTAATAGTTCAAATATTTTCAAAGTCCATTGACCATATGGCTTTGAAACTTTGCACACTTGTTCACCATCATGACCCCAACCTGTAAACAGGAGGAGGTAACTCTATCAAGCATTTTGACAGAATTATGCCCTTTTTCGACTTAGAATTTACGTTAAAGTTTTTGTAATAGTTCAAATATTTTCAAAAGTCCATTGACATATGGCTTTGAAACTTTGCACACTTGTTCAACATCATGACCCCAACCTGTAAACAGGAGGAGGTAACTCTATCAAGCATTTTGACAGAATTATGCCCCTTTTTCGACTTAGAATTTACGTTAAAGTTTTTGTAATAGTTCAAATATTTTCAAAGTCCATTGACATATGGCTTTGAAACTTTGCACACTTGTTCACCATCATGACCCCAACCTGTAAACAGGAGGAGGTAACTCTATCAAGCATTTTTTTTACTATCAAGCACTAAGAATAGTCGAGCGTTGCTGTCCTACCGACAGCTCTTGTTTTATGATATAATGAGAATCTTCGATTTATTATAATTTCATGTAAACATACCGGTAGTTACATTCTAAGAAAGTTCTACACAAGCATGCTTTAAAAACTTATTAAGACATTTTTAATGAAAATGAAAGTTTATTATAAATGACATTTCATGTAAAAGCTTATATATAGATAATTACTGAACCTATGGCTAACATAATTAAAAACTTTGAAAAAAATGAAAGAGAGCTGTAAGCAAAATAAACATAATTTCAGAATAAATTACAATTATTGTTTACAACTCTATGCATATTGTAATTTTTTCTCAATGAAGAATGTCAAATATGTCAACATCCCCTCAAATTGCTATAATTTTCTTGCATGTTACAGAACAGAATGGGACCCATTAACTTTTTGATGAAACTCCATGTAGACTTTGCAAGAATACCAGCCTATATAATAAAGGTAATCCAGATATTAATATAAAAAAAAAATTGAAAAAAGTATAGCTGTAAGTTTATGGCAGTGATTGTTAGAATCATATCTGTATCATCGGATCATGATTTTCAGTCAGTTAATATTTTGAAATTTTCTGGGGAAAATAAAAGATAAATGGTTTTGTTGAGATTGAAAGATGGACAAGTCTATTTTAGATTATCAGCATGGTAAGTCACTGGTAGAATGTCTGTTTGTTGCTTGATAAAAATCATAGCAAAGTTCCAAACTTGAAAGATTGATTTAGTTTATGAAAAGTGGTTGGCATTTAACTAATAACATTTTTAGCTCGACTATTCCAAGAATATGAGAGCTATTGTAGTCGCCCCGGCGTCGGCGTCAGCGTCCGCGTCGGCGTCTGCGTTGGTTAAAGTTTTTTGTAAAGTCAAATATCTCAATTATTACTTGAGATATTCAATTGAAACTTACAATACTTATTTATAGTAACAAGGTACATCAGATTGACAAGTTGGATAACTCTGCCTACAATATTGACAGAATTATGCCCCTTTTTTACTCAGAAATTTTGGTTAAAGTTTTTTGTAAAGTCAAATATCCCAATTATTGCTTGAGATATTCAATTGAAACTTTCAATACTTATTTATAGTAACAAGGTACATCAGATTGACAAGTTGGATAACTCTGCCTACAATATTGACAGAATTATGCCCCTTTTTTACTTAGAAATTTTGGTTAAAGTTTCAATTATTGCTTGAGATATTCAATTGAAATTTAAAATCTTTTTTTTATAGTAACAATGTACATCAGTTTGCAAAATTGCATAATTCTGCCATCAATATTTGCAGAATTATTTGCCCCTTTGAAACTTAGAAATTTTGGTTACAGGTTAATGGTCTTCAAAGATATTAACTTGAAACTTTACACATGCTCTTAGGGTCATAATTGGAGGATCATAATAGTATGTCACTGACCAAGTTCCATAACTCTATCTTGCATTAAGGCTGATTCATATCCCCTTTTCTACTTAGTCTCTTGGTTAATGTTTACATGCAAGTTTTACATATCTCAATAACTATTAAAGATATTAATTTAAAACTTCACATATGCATTTAGGGTCATAATTGTAGGTCACTGACAAAGATCCATAATTCTATCTTGCATTTAGGCTGATTTTTCTCCCCTTTTTTCAACTTAGAAATTCATGATAAAGTTGTGCTTGTAAGCTGTTATCTCAATAACTACCGAAGAGTTTGTGCCTTTTTTGGGACAATTTTATGCATTCATAATAATAAAGCAGTAATTTACTTGATAAAGCATCTTAATAACAAGCCTTTGTACCTTTTCTGTCAAATTTATGTATTCATAGGTAATTGATATTATTATACTTAATAAAACACCCTTGTGACATTACCTTCCGAATAGTCAAGCCAATACTGTATAATATGACTCTCTCTAAGGCCTATAACATGAATTTATAAAAAAAAATTAGCCCTTTTGTGAACAAGGCTCTTTTACTATCAAGCACTTAGAATAGTCGAGCATGCTGTCCTACCGACAGCTCTTGTTATATTTTGTCAGGAAATATTTCATACTGTTTCCTAAAACAGTTCATATGCAGATAACCACGACAGTATTGTGTGTTTTTGCCAGTTATAGCTGTATATATTACATAATTATTATAGAAGAACTTGAAGAGAAAGAACTTTAATTTTATTTATTTATTTGTTGTTTTTTTTTTAAATTCTATACCATGTCTATCAATTTTGAATTACACAACCTTTTCTAAGCTGTAATCTTTTAAGTTATTTCTATTGATGTGTTACACTGTTGTAAAAATTGAACTTGACTATAAGTACTATAGATAGGATTTAAGACACTGTTTTTGAACATGAGCTTGAAGAATACATTGTGTGTTATTTTAATATTTTTTTGTGGGACTGAAGACTAAGTCACCACAATGCAGTAGGTTTGTGCTAGTGGTAGAGTGTCCATCAAATGTTGTGTTGGCTAAAATTTTGCCGTAGATTTATAGATTCAGAAATAACAATGTCACCATCAAGCAACAAATTTCAACTTCAAATAACAAATATCAGCCTAAATTAGAAGGGTGTTGTATACAAGATTCAAAGGTCAAGATCATACAAAGAATGTTCCATAGTCATAGATTTACACAAATGGCACAAATGCTAAGTTATTGCATGAATTAACCACAAATGAAGGTCATGGTCATTTTTAGTCATAGGTAAAAAAATGAGTGCTTTTTGCCTTTTAGAGCTCTAACTTACTTATTTGTGCCATATATATACAGATTCTCAAGTAACTTGGTACAAATGTCGGACCTGAATTTTTATGAGAAAGTATTTTGAAACAAGTCTTTGAATAACTACTTCTGTGCTAATGTGTTTGATATTGCCTTTGGTATTGCTAATTTCAGCTTGACCCAGGTGAAGATGCAGCTTTATTACTGGTATCATTTAATAGTCCTGAGGGAACTAGAATAACACCCCAGTTATACCTCTCACCAAGAGTTGAAAGGTTTGTGCAGTTATGTGTTCGTAAAAGTATTTCTTAAGTCAATTTACAGTGAAATCTTTCTATGTAGACCATAAATAGCTTTTAAATAGAATACTTTCCTATAAGATATAATCGTCTAACCAACCAAGTGAAAATATAAGTTGCAAATTTATACCCTTATCTTTAATATTTTCATATGTTAAAAACTATTTTTGCTAAGTTCTATTCCATTACAGGTATACATATCATTATTATGAAAAATTGTTTTCATTTGAATAACTGTCAATGTGTCATTTAAAAATACAAGTATAAATATCTCAGCTGAGGTGCTTGTATATTTTGATAAATGAAGAAATGATTACACAGTTAAATATATCTGAGAGAATTCTCACACATTACATTTTCATTGTTTTACTTTAAAGATTGCAAGTTACATTATTATATTTTTTTAATCGTAATGCATGAGATGAATACAATAAGTTAATGTTTATTAATATTATTTGAATATTATTATTTAGAGCACTTGGTGGATCAGCTAATCTCAGAATCCCAGGGTTCCCTGTTGGTTCATGCCTTTCAGAATATGTTCCTGATGTTACACTACTTCTTAAAAATAAGGTATTTATTACCTAAGAAGTTACAACTTTTTCTTGAATTAAATGTGAAAACATAAATTTATATTATGCTTTTCTGTATATGTTTTCATTACATTCTTGAAGTTACTTGTTAAAATTATTTCTTTAAATAAAGGCTCTGTTGAAAAACTCAATTTCTCAAAGAAACCAATTATTGTTAAATTATGTCTGTTAAAAGACCCAAGAAGATGAGTGGTCTAGTGGTAAACCTGTCTGCTTTCCAACCCAGACATTGCCGATTTGATCTTTTTTAGGTCATGGTGATGTTTCCCTTTCATCATCATTCAAGTGATGATAAGAATCAGAAGAATAGTTTTCATTATTAAGCTTAAATAGGTTTAATCTAAGCTGATCTTGAAAACTTTTCCTTTAGACACAGCCATGTTTTTATTTAGCCTCGCTGAAATCTTTTTGAAATCATTCACCTAGATTTCTTGAAATATACATGTATTTTTTATTTGTTTGTAATTAATAGTTTTTTGGGGAAATTTGGTATTTTTGTATTGAATTAATGACTATATTATGTATTGAATAAATGACTACACTTTGTATTGAATAAATAACAATATTGTATATAAACTTTACCCTTTAGGTTGACCAGATTGTTCAGTGTTATGAAAAAAGAAAAGAATACATAGCTGCATTCTTAAGCATGTTTGGAAGGTGAGACACGTTATGTTTAGAAATAATTTTAATACAAATTAAGTGTTACTTATGATAATACCAGATATGTGCCACCAAAATAGTGTAAGGCTAGCTTGCATGGCTTGGAAGTCTGACAAAGTTTGCTGAATTGTCATACAATGTATATGCATTTTGATTTTTGACATTCTTGGAGGGATTAAGCTTGTTGTAACACAAATGCAGTTAGCATGATGTGACACAAATGCAGAGTTTTAGTTGGAGTTAGTAAGTTTTAACTCAAGTGCAGGGAGTTAGCTTGTTATAACATAAATGCAGTAAACAGTTTTAACACAATAGTATGGAGTTAGTTTCTCATAATGTAAATTCAGGGAGTTAGTTGGTTGATTTCATATGGAACATATTTACAATTTAAGACATTAAAATTAATCACAAATATATTAATTTTATACTTCTTAATTCTTCATTTTCCTTTGATACAGGTCTATCCTGGAATATGATGCTGAGGGGTTTACTAAAGTTTCATTTCTTTTTGAGTGGCATGACTTTTTCTTCATTATAAACAGTAAGTATATGTGACCTGTATTTCAAAATACAGAGTGGTCTGAGTTTCTTAATATGTTAAATCATAAGTTGCCAAAGATATTTTCCTCTGATTTTACCTCTTATGTTATATAACAAAAAATCAAATCAGAGATTCAAATAAAACTTGTAATGTTCATTATATGATTTGTATATAATTATATTTTCCCCAAGATATTACGTTATAACAAATTTTCATTTTAATTCTGAACCTGATTAAGCTTCATTTTCGTAAGTCATTAAATACTTTTCAAATGAAAATTACATGTTAATAATTTACATAAAATTCGGTTCTTACTGGAATGCTTTCTATTTAAATATATTATAAAATTGATTGTTTTTTTTCTAGTTGAGTTGCCCACTTATTTTCCGAAGGAACAGCCATTTTTAACATTTCAATCAATTTATCATGAGACTAAAGGTAAACCTTACTCGGAAACCCATCAAGATGATTATCCCTATAGTCCTAGATGGAGTGGACTCGAGATGGCTGAACGTGCTAAGTAAGAATATGTCCAAAAAAAATAGTGTGATCCTTTTCCATTGTCACTGTTAGTGTATTCTTTCTAATGGACATGCACTGCATTAAATCCATTAATTTGTATGTTAAATGTTTATGGTGGGTTTTAAAGAATTACAAAGTTGCAGCAGCTAAAATTTTGATTCGACTGAAAGTATGTCCAGCCTAACCAGCCCTGAGTTTTTGAATAAGGTTCGTTATTATTTGGACCAGATAACAGGTCTTAAAGCAGCACGCCTCCAGATTCATGTTAATTTTCATAAAAATTTTGGAAATGTAATTAAAAGTAAAGTAATGTGAGATGAACAAAAAAAGTAATTTACATATTGCAATCGGCACTAACAATCCATGAAAATTACCAAAAAGTGCTCAACATATGCATAACAGCCCTTACTGCATTAGTAATGCAGTAGAAATATGGTGATAAAATACTGAAAAATCAGTGTTAAACTGCACATAGCATGTAAAATATAACTTGGATCTTGAATGTTTTTATCTTTCTTAAAAGTTGTGTACATTTTTCTCAATATTGCTTTTCTTGAAATATTTTGGCTCAGGTGTGCAGCTTTAAAATTCAGTAAAAAAGAAATGTTAGGATTTATTTTTACAAAGTAGTCTTTAAGATGTCTCATTATCCTAGTGGTTGAATATGAGCTTTAACCTTTTCCCTTATATAAGCGTGTTTCGACGGCTTTTTGCCCCACCCCCCTTTTTTTGAGGCCTCAAACAGTGAAAAAATGCCCTATTTAGGCCCCAAACACTGGTTTTCGTTTGAGAAATGTTGTTAAAAAAAGTGACCTTTTTTGGCGCCGTCCCCCATCCAAATGTTACATCAGGGGTTGCCAGAAGGGGTGGGCCCCCTTCTGTTGGGCGAAGTCCCCTTCATCGCCAAGAAAATTTTGGACATGTGACAGGCTAAAAATGGCCTCAGGTCAATCTTAGGGTAACTAGTAACCGACGCTGAAAAGCCTTTTACTCTATCTCATTTCATTGAGAAGTTGCAGCACTTTGAAATCAGTTTTGATGGAAAAAAAACTATGCAAAATAGTGATTTTTGGCAATTTTGAGACATCCCCCCGTTGCCATGGTAACAGGAAATTTACGATTGAGCATGCTGTTACAGCGCCTATGGTGTAGTCAATATTTGTGCCAAGTTTCATTAGTATTGAAGCATTTTTCATAGTTTCATAGCAGTTTGAAACTTGTTTCAGGAGGCTTTTCAATGAAAACGGCCATTTTTCGCAATATGCTCCATGGGGTAAAAGGTTAAATAGTCAATAGACCCTTTAAGGTGCTTACCAGGATTTTTAAATTATGCCCCCCTTCAAAGAAAAGGGGGTTTATTTGTTTTGCTAATGTCGGGTCGTCCTTCGGTCCCGTTTTTGTCCGTCCCGGAATAAGACAACATGGTTTCCCGCTGTTATCTTGAAAAGTATTTAATCACAAAGGTCCTTTCATATTTCACATAAGTCGTTGGTCATCATATAGTATGACCCCTAATTGATTTTGGGGTCACAAGGTGAGAAAGGTCAGAAAGGTCACGAGGGTACCTTAAAATTTCCCAAAATGGTGAATTCTCCGATGATATTAATCTTGAAAAGTAATGTACACAAATCTTCAAATATTCTCCACACAGTGGGATTTTTGGTCAATCACTAGTAAGATGACCCCTATTGAATTTTGTGGGTCACAATGTAAAAGGTAAAGGGTAAAAGGGGGCAAAAAATGTCAAAATTTTTTCCCGCTGTTTTATATTGAAAAGAAATGTATCCCCAAAGTCAAAATATTTCACTTTAGTATTGGTCACCCCACAAAGAAAGATGACCCTATTTGATTCGGGGAGGTCATAGGTCAAAGGTCAAGGTCACGGGGGCCCTTAAAAATTTTCCAAAAAGGGTTTTCCCGCTGTTTATTTTTAAAAAAGATTCTTTCCAAATTTTCCCATTTTTAAACCCTATTAAAATTGGTAAAATAGTAGTAAGATGACCCTTTTGTTTTTGGGGGTCATTTAGGTCAAAGGCCCCACGGGGAAACCTTAAAAGGGTAAAAAGGGTTTTCCCGCTGATTAATCAAAAAAGAAATTTACACAAAAGCCCTTCAAATTTCACATATTTAAAATTTGGTTCATCACTGGGAGTCCCCCTATTGATTTTGGGTCACTAGGTCAAAGGTCACAGGGACCTTAAAATGTCAAAATGGTTTCCGCTGATTATCTTGATAAAGTATTTATCACAAAGTCTTCATATTTCACATAGTTGATTGGTCATTACTAGTAGATGACACCTATTTATTTTGGGGTCACTAGGTCAAAGGTCAAGGTCACAGGGGCCTTAAATGTCAAAAGGGTTTCGCTGATTATCTTGAAAAAGTATTCATCAACAAAGTCTTCATATTTTCACCTAGTTATTGGTCATATGTAGTAGATGACCTCTAACGATTTAGGGGTCATTAGGTCAAAGGTCAATGTCACATGGGCCTTAAATGTCAAAATGGTTTCTGTTGATTTTTTCATAATTTGAACACTTCCATGTACCCATTTTTTGGCAAGTTTCTGTAATAAAATTACCAATTATGTGAGTAAATTTGCTAGAAAGGGGGGGTTATTTTGGTCGTTGGAAATTTTGTTTTTAAAAAAATTCAAATTTTACAAATTTTTGGGTCTTTTTTGCCTTAAAAGGAATTTTAAAGGGGCATTAACTTTTATTAATATTTAGTGTTTAAAAAGAAAACCCTTAAAAAGTTTTTGTGCCAATGGGAATTTTTTTCCCTTTGAATTAATAAAACCCCGCAATTTTACTTTGGTTAAAACACATATTTTAAACTGGTTAAAATTTTTTTTAAAAATGAACCTTCTTTAAATTTGAATTTATGTTTTTTATCTTTAAAATAGTTTGGGGTTACAAAATGGTGTTTTTGAAGTTTTTTTCGGGTAAAAAAAAATTGGTTTGTTTAAAACAAACAGTTACTATGGAAACCAAAGTACATTAGTAGTAGTGTTTTTCTGTATGTTTAAAAATTATAAAGCTAAGGTTAAACAATATACTGGTATAATACATCGAAGATCATATTGTTAAACATTACTTCATATTATGAGAAATTACTTCATACTAGTATTATAAAACATTATTCCATCCAAAATGGTTTTGTTATTCCTATGTTATTTTTGTTTTTAGGACATTCATACTGGACAATATAGGTGCCTTCCAGAAACAATCAGTCAAAAGTTGTGCAACCTGAGGGAAATATAAGTGGACATTTACTAGTGCAATATACTGTTCTTAAGATAAACATACTGTAATAGTATGTATGTAAAAACAGTTGTTTACTTGTGTTACTGGATATTGTTAATTCAACAAAGATATCAGCCCCCGCCAGATATAATGCAGAGTTGGACTTAGTACCAGTACTATTAAAGCCAGAAAGTAACATGCCCTTTTGATTAAACTACGGGGGAAAATTTTTTTATTTTTATCCCCCCAAGAACAATTAAAAATTTTTTAAACCCCTTGTTTTATTTTTAAGAATTTGCATGTTTTCTTTTTAAAATTCTATCTTTACTTTTTTTATTCATTTAAAATTTTAAACCCTTTTAATTTACTGAAATTTTCAGGATTTTAAAGGCCTCCCCCATTTAAAAAAACATGTTTTAAAAAAAAACCTTTTTTTTTTAAAAACAATGAAGGGTTTAACCTGAATTTAATACGGAAGATGGAACAGGGTTAACACTAATCCCCCAAACCCGAATTTATGGGGGGGTAAATTTGCCCAACCCCCCTTTTAACCCGGGTTGCAAGTAGACCTTTGGGTTTGGGGTTTAAAAAAATTGTGTGCTTGGTAAGTTTTTAACCAGGTTTTCCGAAGGAAAAAACTGGTTATTAGATTTGAGGTATGTCGGCGGGCGGGCGGGCGGGCGGACGGGCGGGCGGGTGTAAACAATTTCTTCTGTGCGCAACTCCTCCTACATTTCTCAACGGATTTTGACCAAACTTTCACAGAAGCTTTGTCATCAAGTGCCCTGGCGCATATTGTGGGGGTTTTGCGATTAGATAATATTTGACCTAATTATGGCCCTTTTTTTTTTTTTCCTTATATAAAATATATAGTGAACAATTTCTTCTGTGCGCAACTCCTCCTACATTTCTCAACGGATTTTGACCAAACTTTCACAGAAGCTTTGTCATCAAGTGCCCTGACACATATTGTCGGGGTTTTTGCGATTAGATAATATTTGACCTAATTATGGCCCTTTGTTTTTTTTCCTTATACAGAATATATAGTGAACAATTTCTTCTGTGCGCAACTCCTCCTACATTTCTCAACAGATTTTGACCAAACTTTCTCAGAAGCTTTGTCATCAAGTGCCCTGACACATATTGCCAGGGTTTTGCAATTGGTATATATTTGACCTAATTATGGCCCTTTTGTTTTTTTTCCTTATATAGAATATATAGTGAACAATTTCTTCTGTGCGCAACTCCTACATTTCTCAACGGATTTTGACCAAACTTTCTTAGAAGCTTTGTTATCAAGTGCCTGGCACATATTGTCGGGGTTTTGTGATTGGATAATATTTGACCGAATTATGGCCCTTTGTATATTTTTTCCTTATACAGAATATATAGTGAACAATTTCTTCTGTGCGCAACTCCTCCTACATTTCTCAACGGATTTTGACCAAACTTTCTTAGAAGCTTTGTTATCAAGTGCCTGGCACATATTGTCGGGGTTTTGTGATTGGATAATATTTGACCGAATTTTATGCATACAGAATATATAGTGAACAATTTCTACAGAGCGCAACTTCAAAAATTAAGCAAAAATAAAGTACTGTTTACCTTTCTAAAACATTTGGGGAAAAAATGCGAATAGACAAAATAAAATTTTCTCAATCATTTTTGTTTGAGGAATATTAAAAAAAGCCATAATTCCTCCTAAAAATTCAATTAAAAACAAATGCCCCTTCATGACAAAGCTTCTGTGAAATATTTTGCTGAAAACCTGGTTGCATCGCATTGCGATGTTCCTTGTTTATCCTGCAATGCTGCACAATATATCATAATTTAAAAAATTATGTCTATAAAACGAGACAAAAAAGAAGATAATAACTTGATAATACAGTTTAAAACTGATATTACCTGCAATCAAGCTGTACTTACCTGCTCTGCTACATGTTCATAATTATGTGAAAGGGGTGTTTATTATCTGTGTCAAGTGAAAACTGTTCAAACACATACATGTGAACTCTCCCGAATTTTACGCGAGAGACTCCCAACTTTCTGCAGCCATATTTTCAAAGATTTCTCTTGAAATAAGGGGTATTTGTTTCATAAATTAAAGAAATCTCCCTATTATTTGATGTCAGAATTTCTTCTTAGTTTATTGATAAAATTCGAAAAATTCCCTCTTTTTTAAAGAAAAATCTACCCACTGATCATCAAAAAAAGTTGCGTTGTGCATAACATAACTGCCTAGTTCAAAATTATCTTGCGGAAAAACAGCATATTTTACTTGTATGCAAATTTATAAAACTGTATACAATATGCAGATGTTTTTGGACCTGTTTTGTTTGGGAGAGTAACTTTAAGCTTAAAAGAGTTTTTTCTCAGTGGTTTATTAAATAAATTACTGGTAAGAATTTTTGTGGTCAAATAAAAGTCAAGAACAAAATCATAAAATATAAATCTTTTATTTTGTATTTTACTCTGCAAATAATTGTAATAACATAATTCAATGTAATGTTTACACGAGTTTTAAATAAATAAAATGTGAGACAAGCAACAACATAATATACAAAATGTAAAGCAATAAAAATCTGAGCCGGGTCACAACAAAACCAACATAATGGGTTTGCGACCAGCATGGATCCAGACCAGCCTTTGCATCCCCGCAGTCTGATCAGAATCCATGCTGTTTGCTTTACCAACTCTATTACAAATAGAGACAACTTATAGAGAACAGTCATAGATCCTGATCAAAACTGCGCAGATGTGGCAGGCTGCCGAGTCTGGAGTCCATGGTGGTCGCAAACCCATTATGTTGGTTTTTTCGTGACGCGGCTCATCTATGGATTTCAAAAGTTTTTAACCACCTTCCATCCTTTTTAAGTTAAAATTAATCAATAGAACACATTTAATATTCAAAAGAAATAATGAGTGTTATTTCTTTCTATGAACTTACATGTACTATTAATAAATGTGTATGTAGAACTTATAGTGAAAATAACCTGGTACGACCAATATTGGTAAGAATTGGGATGGGCCTAATGTCCATTGGTGGCAAAGCGCAGAGGTCCCGATTTCCTATTAAATGTTTCCTTTTTGGGAAAAAACCCGAACCTATAATTTTTTCCAACCTGAAATTTAAACTGGTGCCCTCTAGCTGGGTTTTTCCAGGGAGCTGTGGGCAAAAGGTTTTTAACCAAGAAGATTCAGAAGCCACTTTGTTTTTTTTACTCGGGAAGGGTTTACAACATTTGCGTTTTGGCTATTGGAAAACCGAATTTTCCCTTTTCCGTTCAGAGGTTTTGATTTGGAAATTGAGATTTGGTTTAGAATTTCCAAAAAATTTTTAATTGAGTTTTCTTATATCAGTAATCTTTGGGGAATTTTTTTTGAATTCATGAAAAATTTGGGATTTGCTTTCATCAGTGAGTTGTAAATTTAAAAATTGTTTTGCTTTTGGGGGGATAAACAAAAAGAAATAGACAAGAAAAAGGGTTTTTATTTGGGGAACCAGGTTTTTTTGGATAGTGCTGTGATTAAAGGGCAATATAAAAAAACGACCCCCGCCTTTGGGAAAGGGGCCCCGCATTGGGGGGGAAAGGGGAAAGGATTTCACCCTATTATACAAAAACATAAAAAACTACCCAAAATTGAAAAGATTTCCCCGGAAAAGGTTAAAATTGGGCCCCCTCAGGGTTGAAACGCAGGCAAAGGGGAAAAAAAATTTGGTCATCGACAAAAAAGGGATTAGGGGGGGGGAAAATGGTTTTGGGCCCAAAGATATTTTTATAAGTCGGGGAAAACCCGGGACTTTGGTAATGGGTTTTAATGTTTCCCAGTGGGAAGAGGTGCTGCTCCCGGGATAAATTTTAATTAAAAAGTTTGGGTGAGGCCGGAAAAAAGGGGGGTAAAATTAAATTTTTCCCTATTTTTTATTTAATTTTAATTTTTTTTACAGATGTTGTCGCCCAGTGAGTCTTCTACAGACACACTGAGGAGTAAGGCCCCCACGGTTACACGTTTAAACGGATTCGTTTCGATTTTCATTCGTAAACGTTTACGATATTTTTTACCGTTTAATCGAAATGACCATATTGTCTTGATCAAATATCTTGATCATTGCCTGTAATCATGGATTTTATCCATTCTAATTGGTTTATTCCAAGGTCAAAAAACGGAAAATGTGTGTTCACAACCTTCCACACAGCATTGCTGTGCAATAATCGCTTGTGACATAATACATTTTTTTGAAAATTTTATTTTCCTTTGATCTTTTAAAATAGAGAAAAGGAGATTCATTGCAGAAAAATTTGTGCCGACACAATCGTGACGAGCCCTGAACATTATTTATTTGTTTGTTTTGTAATAGGAATGTTAGGATCCGTCTCTGCGTTTCGAATAACATGGATAGTAGTTATTTTACATAAGATCAAAAATAAAAAAACGTTTAAAACGAAAGGGTTTTTCTTTCTTAACAATCGGTTTTTAAACTTTAAAAAAAAAATTTTTAAAACGTGGGACCTTACTGAGGGGGGGTAAGAATAAGGGGGGCTGGGGAAAGAAACCCCCCGGTCAGTTTAGGGGGATAAGCTTGTAATAAAAATTTTTGTGGGGGTTAAAATAAATAAACTTTTGGTAATTGGGCCAAAAAAAAAGGTTGTACACTTTCCCTGGGCCGGGGTACCTTTTAAGAAAAAACTTTATTAAAAAATATCTCCCCTTTTTCCCGGGAAATTAAAACCGTTAGCACTTTGCAGGGGAGCTCGGCGGCAAACCCCTACATCAGATTGATGAATGGGGAATAAAAAAATTTGGGAAAATAAACCCAGAAAGACTAAGGGAAAATGGGCCCGAATGCAAAAAGCTTTGTCGGGGATAGGGATTCAGGGGTTATTTGGCCCGTAATTTCGGGGAATTTTTTGAACCCTAGTAAGTTTTAATTTAAAAAGAAAAATTTTTAATTTATTTAATTTTCAAAATTTTATAGCAGCATAGGCCCAGACAAGGATCAGGTTACTGATTTCCTCCAACATAGCGAGGCTTGTGGTGACGAGGTGATGACGGAGAGAGTATTGGTAGACGGAGCATGTTGGGGTCAACTTCCAATTGATCAGAATGTTTTTTGGAGGTGGAGGACATAATGGTGGTGGATATGGTGGGGAGTAGCCAAGTAAAAGACAAAAAACAGAAGCGAGAAAATATGAGAATGAGGGAAATG